CACATGACTTTTTTTTGATGCGCATGGAGGAATTTATTTGTTGTGTTTCCATATCCCATTATTCGCATTAACTTTTTTCAAAATCCACCTCAAGCGAGCGTAAAAACTTTTTTTTACGAATGAAGGGATTTTTTTTCTCGAACTTTGGTGTTTCCATCACTCTTTTCTGATACGATACTTCAAAATGCACATAAAAACAGGGTGATGGAAGCATGGCTACTGTATGCTTAGCTCTTAGTGTGCCAATCTGTCCATCAAAGTTCTTAGTATTAACACAAATTACAATAAAATAAAAATATCAAATTGAAAGTAGAAATTAAAAATATTTGTTTTTAACCATACTAAAATTGAAAACAAAATTAGAAAATGATGCTACATAAAGTAGTGGATTTTTCAAAACTATAACAACTATTATTTCCATGTCTCCTTCTGCAGGAACGGACATACAGCTTTTTCTTGTTGATTTTGTACAACGACCTGAAATCACTACATATCTGTCTACTGAAAGAAAGAGATGGGGTGAGGCTTGTTGATCAGGTTCAGTGTCAAAGTTGGTTTGCTTTTAAGTCAAATGTCTGATTCCTGGCCTGACTTCCTTCTTCGTTTGAACCGAGTCTGTTTATGAATTTCATATAGGTTTATATGAGGTCAGAGAACTGATTTCTGCTGGCCTTGAATGGAGTTCGTCTTCATTATAATGGATAGTGGGTTGAGTCATGCAGTATATTGCATTTTATATATATAAATAAATACAGCCTGAAGGTATGTGAAATGAATAATCTATGTGAACAGTTTAGGAAATGTCATTGAAAATGCAGTCTTGACAGAATTTAAAGGCCAATTTTTGAATGTGTCAACCAGTAAATGGGCTTTTTGTTTGTTTATAGGTGTTTCTTAGGGATTTTTTAATTAAACTCCTTTTAAACCAGTGGAAACTGGTGCTTTTCTGCCGGCAGTATAGAAGCACAGACATCGCTTATCAATGGTGAAATATGTACTACAAAGATTCTTCTCAAACTTCCACTAAACAGAAAAGTTTTTTCTGATATTTGTTGGCTCTAGTCACTCCCTCCCATTCGTTCTCTGTCTCCTTTAGACAAAGTGGTGGCCATCAGATAGCCATCGATCAGGTTGATTATTTTGATGTTTAATCCGTTCCACTGTTGTTCATTAGTCATCTGAGCTCAATAGCTTTGGCTGCAGTGGTTTACAGCCTGTCAGTCATCATAGATGAACTATTCCATCTGTTGTTGTCGTGAAGGGATTCTGGGAGGTCACGGCGCACAAAGAGATGGGCTTGTTAGCACAAGAGGGATGGAGAGATGTCTCTGTTTCAAACTGCAGACCGATCACTTTTGGGTGTTTAATGATGGTTAAAAATGTCTGACATCTGCATGGAATGACAAACTAGACCGGAGTTCAGCCAGGAACTGCCAAAACAGATGCTCCACATGACCTTTGATTTATTAAATAGTCAATTAATTTAGTTGAAAATCACATGATTTTTGCTCTACATGTTTATAAGGAAGCGTTTATGCCTATGGTTTCTCATGAGGACTTACACAGTTTTTCAGTTATGACTGATACGAGTTATAGACTGATGAACTGGTTTGGCATATTCATTGGCTCATATTTGAGCATTTAGAAAATCAGCATTGGATGATGATAACTATTCCAGTAGGCAGTAGGCTTTGTTTCTTCTGTTGAACACAATAGAAGATATTTCGAAGAATGTTGGTAACCAAACTTTTGTTGGTAGCCATTGATCTCCATAGTATAGAAAAAAAAATGGTTACCCACATTTTTCAAAATATTTTATTTTGTGTTCAACAAAAGAAAAACACAGTTTTGGAACAAATTGAAGGTGAGTAAATGATGACAATTTTCATTTTTGGGTGAACTATCCCTTTAAAGCTGGTAGCCATTGATCTCCATAGTATAGAAAAAAAAATGGTTACCCACATTTTTCAAAATATTTTATTTTGTGTTCAACAAAAGAAAAACACTCATACAGTTTTGGAACAAATTGAAGGTGAGTAAATGATGACAATTTTCATTTTTGGGTGAACTATCCCTTTAAAGGTGGGGTAAGTGATTTTTCAAAAACGCTTTAGAAAACTGATTCGGGCTGACTAGCAAAACAAACTTGTAGCCAATCAGCAGTAAGGGGCGTGTCTACTCATGATGTGGACGAGAGAGCGTTCAGTCCGAGCCGAGCGACAGAAAGATAGAGATGGCGGATAAAAAACAAAAGAGGAAACGTCTGAAGGCTTCAGGCAATAAGGCAAGAAGTAGGACCCGTGTAAATATCGGATCAGCTTTCCAGCGCTGGAGAGAACTCAAGGAGCGGAAGGCCTGCGATCGGACGCCGAGGTTGCTTTGTTTCTTCTCGATAGGTGAATTACACCATGTCTGCTAAAGTCTGTCTAGTACACTGGACGCGAAAAAGTGACTGTTGAAAATCATTTGAAATTTGTGTCAATATGTCATAAATAGAACGCAGCAGCAGTTTTCTGTCGGGGATTTGTCATGTCGTGCCGCACCGCATCCAGTGTAGACCATAGATATGTATATATATCTATGGTGACGACAGCATCACTGATTATAATGAGTTCCATATTATTTTGTCGCGCCGCGCCACTCGCGTTGAGCATTGGTTTTGCTTTGTTTCACAGAACTAATCATTGCCTGGGTTGAGTATGTATGATAGTCAACATTGGCTACCAGAATTCGCTTGCCCCACCTTTTAAGGGAGTTGTCATTCTACCTAGTATTTTCAAAAATTCCACCAGCCTTGTTACAATGTTAATTTGGTATAATGTAGTATTTATTAATACTTTAACTTTAACTTTTATTTTTATATTTTCAGTTTTCATTTTAGTTAATATTTCACAATTTTGTAATATGCTTTTGTCAATTTTATTAGTTATACTATATATATATATATATATATATATATATATATATACACATTCACTTTGTTAGACAGGTTCTATTTAAGTGATTTCTTGATTCAACAGGTCTGGCAGTAATCAGGCCTGGGTGTGGCTAGTGAAATTTAACTCAGCTTTCTAAAATAATGGTTAATTGCAGTTCTTTCATGATTTAACAGGAGGGGGCAATTCATTTTTCACGTAGGGCCACGTAGGTTTGGACAGCTTTTTTCCCTTAATAAATGAAATCATCATTTAAAAACTGCATCTTGTATTTATTTACTTGCATTATCTTTGTGTAATATTAAAATTAGTTTGATGACCTGAATCTTTTAAGTGTGACAAATATGCAAAAAAATAAAAAAAACAGGAAGGGGGCAAAAACCTTTTCACACCACTGTATATTCTTTATTGTTATTAAAGTTATTGTTATTAAAAAATATTGTTAATTTTATTAATTTGAGTACTTATAGTTGCCATTAAGTTGCCAAAGTTTATCATCTATTTATTGCAGTTCTGCTTCAGTTCCCGAAAATAGAGGTTTAGTTTGTTATCAGTGACAACACTGCCTTGTTCAGTTTTGAGTAAATAATGTGTAAACTTAGTTTAAATTTGTTTAAATTCATGAATTATTATTTCCTGTTATTAAATAATTAAATTCTTAATTCTAATAATTATAAATATGTTAGTATAAATCTATATTTGTAATCATATTTATGAAAGTTTAATTAATATAATAAAATTATTTAGTATATTTCAATATAATAAAAAATTTAATTTCAAAGGTTTCATTTGTTATTATTGTAATGTTGTTGTTATTGTTCACATAAATTTATACTATACTTTTTTTGTATTATCAGGATATCAGCCATTCTGCTTTTTAGATATCTCCGTGTTTTTCCTAAAAATGTGCATAAATTATTAAAAGATTAAATGATATGAGTTTTGTTCTGCATATTTTTCTAATTCAGCAAAAGTGGCTATGTAATAATGGGCAGTTTCCTTTCACTCTTGACATTTTATGACAGGGTCATGGGCATTGATCCTTTTCAGCGAAAATTATTTTATGGTCAGTTTGTCTTCTTTATGATGGGCCATCAATCACGCTGGACTCATGCAGGAAAGGGCAGCACAAGCTCACAAAGTAAAAAAAAAAAACTGCCACTTTAACTTTATATTTCCATTGATTTGAAGATCTTTTAAAAAGCAGCGGTAAATTTGAGAATAATGGTGGTTCTCTCCTTACAAGCTCTGCAAGAATAGACCTTTCACTTGGACTAAAAGTTTGTGTTGTTGGCTCAGCAAACTCACTGCAGAGAACTTGAGCTTTCCAAAGCTGAGCTTCTGAGCTGTCTAAATGTCCACTGCAGCACTTTCTCTGAGACGATAACACTGCATTACCACTAAACCAATGCGAGACCATCAGACTTTTTGGCAAAAGTGTTACCATTAAGCTGGAAGTTGGAACAGGAACATGTACACACTGAAGAGATGGAGGTCTTTTATCATCCTGAGGGAAACACAGTCCTGACCTACACAGAGTAATGATTACTGAGAAATCTTTGTCTTTTTGTATAAACTCTTATCTGTTCATTCTTTTCTGTGTCTGCCTCTCTTTGTGTCATTATTTACTTCTAGATTAATCAATGCAAACACCAGAGAACCTAAAGATTTTATGTAGTTATTACATTTTTTTTTTTTGGTCCTCACATTAACTTAAAAAGGGGGTTCGGTGGGTCTTAAAAAAGGTCTTTCACAAATAAAGGCCTTGAAAGGTCTTAAATCAGAGCAGAGTCTTAAAGTCTGAAATTCATGCATGAAATGTTGCTTTCACTGCCAAAAATTTATAACATCCTCAGTTTTTTTATACTGTATATATATATATATATGATTCATTTGTATTCACCTTGTAGGGAAAATATATTATAACTTGATTATGCTTGACTATTTTAGATACATTTAATGAAAACTTTAGTTGATTACTAGATTATTATTGTTGTTTTCATCATCTTGGACATCCTTAATTTTCATTGACCAGATGTGTTTCTCTCTCCTCATGTGTCACAGGTCTGGGAAATTTCATCGGGGGAGATGCTCCTGTCCGTTCTCTTCGATGTTGGCATCATGTCAGTGACCTTTGACCCCTGCGAGTATTTCCTGTTCTGCGGAGGTAGTGACGGCAATATTTTTCAGGTGTCTCTCTGCAGCACGGTAAGCACTTTAGACACTGACATTTGCTTATCAATGGCATTTATCCTGTAAAACAGGTCTGATGAGACCTTTGTAATAGAGTTTTTGTCACCGTTGTGAAGATGTTTATGAGATGTTTAATTGGCCAATATCACATGAAGCAGCCTGTTGAGGTTTCATAAGAGGTAATGCACCCTGTAATATCTTCACTGCATTAGACGGACAAGATTAGGTCATTTTAACTGGACTCCTGCTTGGCAGTGATTAGATAAAAATAGTGTCAAGTCATTTTCTGTCATATCTTCATTTCTTTTCTTTCACATAGTCCTCAGAGTAAACAGTCAATTTCAATTCCTGGTGTGAAGCGTTTATATGCTGATCTTTGTGATCCTCTGTCCTGATCCTTCATATGTCTCCTCAGCACTGCTGAGAACTGAAGTGAGTGCTTTTTAAATTTTTCTAGAGAGCTGTCCATTTCAGTCCAGGTCAGGGCATCTTAGAGAAAAGCACTCGGTGCTGAAAGGCAAAAATGGATGTGAAATCAATGTGTTTCCTCACATTCTTACCTCTCTTCACCTTTACACTCATCGCAAAGGGAACGTATGCAGGTGTCATGGCCATTGTCAGTTTCACTTAAAGCCAATGTAGTTTTGCTGGATCATTGGAAGTAGGTTATTCCCCAGCAGTTACTTTTGGCTTTGAGAAGATATGAGGCTCAACCAGCGGAAACATCTGTTTACCGAGAACATTGGTATCGGGAATTTTGTTGTTTTTGGAAATTATTGAATTTTAAGGAGATCACAGAAAAATGCATTTACTCATTATCGTGCTTTCAAACCTGTATGACTTTGTTTCTTCTATGAAATGCAAGGAGATGTTTAGCAGAATGTTCATGCTGTTTTTTCCCATGTAAAGTTAATCTGACAGCGTTGCATTCAATCTTCCACCAATGCCGTCACTGGTTAGCCTCTGGTCTGTCTGTGCACGTTCATGTGTTTTGGAGGAGGTGTGGCTTTGGAGAATGATTTGCATGGAGGGTGGGATATTGTGCTTTCAAAGCTAGCTTGCTATTGCTACCCTACGTTTTATGTACTGCATGAAAAAAATGATTATTCATTTTGAAAATTACTATAATCTACTTTTAATAGAAATTAGCATGCACAATTAAATAGGGATGCACCGAATTTCACTGGACAAAATACATTGATCTCTGTGCACAGGCGGTTGAGAGACAAGTCCGAAGGGACTGTCTGCAAAGTGCAAAACCCAAGAAGCATTACTACAAAAATATTCAATAACTTCACTGTAACGCACTGTAGTGTCACCAAATTCAGTTCACACATCAGTGCTCTCCTGCTGGTTATACTACAACACTGAAAAATTTTGCTACTTTCAATAAAAAATTCAGTGTGTGGTTATTTTATTGGTTTGTAGTTTTTCAGTTTCATGAAATTAAAAAGCCTGATATTAATACAATCAATTATACAAAAAGTATTTTTAAATATTTTAAAATAATTCATTTTCGGTTTTCGGCCAAGTGCATCCTGAATTTTCTGTTTCGGCTCAGAATATTCATTTTGGTGCATCCTTAACAATTAAATAAAAATAATATATATAAAATATAATAAATTAAAAAAGATTTTTGGCCAATAACCAATATGGTACTAGTATACCATACAACCTTAAGCCCAGAACACTCAAGCTAACGTTCGGCCGTCAGGAAATGTTGGGTGGTTTTTGAGCATCAGTCGGCTTTAGTTTTTTCGGTGTGTTCCGTGTTTGCTCTAGTCAGACGGCGTCAGCTGTTTTTCATCCAATTCTGCATGTTGAATATGTCGAGAAAGAGAACTCCGATTGGCTATTCAGCTTAGTGAATGAGCACATGAGAGAGGAAAAAACCCCCGGATATGATGAAAACAAACCAATGACAGAGTAAAGAGGGAATCCACAGACACTTGTTGTCATTGTATCCATTTCTTTCTTTCTTTATCCACAAGACGACGACCAAGGGCTGACAATGCCAGTGCCATTTGCAACTTAGTAGATATGATTGAAAAAAGCTACACAAATCCGTCAGTAAAGAGTATGGCTGGTGTAAACAATGGTGCTGCTTGCTTTGTATATCCACAGTTCCAGCTCTTCCGGTTTCCTTGTTTGATTGCTGAATACAGACTACTGCCACCTGCTGGTATGGGAGAGTTATGTTCTCTCACGCTAGTTGGCCGTCAGGTGTAGTCTGTCCGGTGTGCTCTAGTGCAACTTTTTTTGCCTTGACGAGCTTTCCTTAGTGCTAGTTCTTTGGCGTTGGTTTGGTGTGTCCCTATACTAAGATTTTTGCCTTGTGATCAATGGAGCATTTTCACACGTGATGACTGTGATGATGCATTTCCACAGTTATTAACATCGTATATCTAGCAAAGTCTTTTATATTTTCATTTAAAAAAATGTATGTACATTTATAACACTATAATTTGTGTTATATTACCTTAGCATTAAATTACAGAAAACTAGTTAAAGAGATAGTTCACCCAAAAATGAAAATTTGATGTTTATCTGCTTACCCCCAGGGCATCCAAGATGTAGGTGACTTTGTTTCTTCAGTAGAACACAAACGAAGATTTTTAACTCAAACCATTGCAGTCTGTCAGTCATATAATGGCAGTCAATTGGCTCCACGGCTTTGAGAGTAAAAAAAAAATACACAGACAAAACCAAATTAAACCCTGTGGCTCGTGATGATACATTGAGGTCTTAAGACACGAAACGATCGATCTGTGCAAGAAACTGAGCAGTATTTATATAATTTTTTACCTCTGATCCACCGCAATGTCCAACTGTCCTGAGCGCGTTCACAACATCTGGCGCATTACATCAAATACATACGGTTGGGCAAAAAATTCCACGTTGTCTGATGATATATCAAAATCTTCTTCCATTGTGATGACCTGTACTTGTAAATATCTTTAGATCATCGAAGTGCCAGTGAACACGTACGCAATTTCTCTGCACTGTGTAAATAATGAGTGAAGTATACGCGCGACAGATTGCTTCCGCACCCGTGTTAATTTTGACAGCAAATTTTGATTTAGTTTTAGTCATAGTCTTTTGACTAACATGCCATTTAGTTTTAGTCATATTTTAGTCATCTGAATTGTTTTTAGTTTTAGTCTAGTTTTAGTCGACTAAATCTACAGTAAATTTAGTTGGCTAAAATCGAATGGGTTTAGTTACAGTGCATTTATTAAAGGGGTCATATGATGCGATTTCAAGTTTTCCTTTCTCTTTGGAGTAGGGATGCAGCGATTAACCGGTTTCTCAACCGGTTTCTCATGACCAGGATGTCATTTAAATATTGCCATAAAAACTGCTGCTAAAGAGCGAATACACGGCTTTAAACTATTTTAATGCACGATGTTGGCAAGACTGACGCGAAGCTACGGCTCGTTAGCTCAGTATTCTGCCCGCTTCAGATCAGACAGATTAAATAGTGTGGTAAGATCACATTTATTTGAATAATTAATTATAACATTTTGCTACTTGAATGAATTATTCGATCGAGAGAGAGGGAGAGCGAAGAGTGTGTGTGTGTGTGTGAACCTGCGTCAGCGCGTCTCTCTACAAACATGCGAGTTTAGTCACTTAAACAGTGATTTTACCCTGATGAATATGCTGATGAATATGTAGCAATTCAGTATCTAAGCTATTTTATTAATAAAAGTCACGGGGCAGGGTTCACAACAAGTGTGTGTCCTCGTGAATGTTTGTATGTGTGCGCAGCGCGATCTCTGATCTCACAAACCAAATATAGACATGATTTTCTCAGGCCACATGTAAAATCATATGAATAAAAATTATTAAAATTAATACGTATGGATGACAGTTGATTACAATGATAGTTCAGTTTATTCCCCTCATTATTAATAGTTTCCCCTGTGGGGTAAATAAAGTTAATTGTCCTATATTAATAATACTTATTAACATTGTTATCTATAATCCCTTTTATAGTATTATGCATAAGTTAAAAACCAACAAGATTTTTTTTTCATGTTTCCAGTTTTCTGCCTTAGGTCCAAAAGAAATGTAAAGAATGTACTAACTGAAAACATTAAATACTTTTGTGATCTATTTACATGAGTTATTTTCAAAATGGAAATACTGACATGGATGTTTAGAGAAGAGGTCACCTTTTTAATTCCAATTAGAGAGATGGACTTTTGTTTGTCTTTATTATTATTATTATTATTTTGTGCTGTATTATTGGTTACTGTGTTATTTCTCTTTCTAAAGGCAGCAATAAATAACACTTTATTATCTAAAGAGTGTCCATTTGATTTTATACATTAATAATTTTGTGAAACGAATAAATGCATAATAATCGTGAAACTGTGATTATTCATCAGACAATAATCGTACCAACAAAATCTATAATCGTTGCATCCCTACTTTGGAGTGTTACAAGCTCTTGGTGCATAAAGAAGATCTGTAAAGTTGCAAAGACTAAAGTATCTAGGGCTGCAACTAACGATTATTTTAATAATCGATTAATCTGTCGATTATTTTTGCGATGAATCGGATAAAAAGCAAAAAAGCCAGAAAAGCATTCATTTCCAACCCTTTATTCAAAAACAGAACTAAACCCTTTAGAAAGTGCACAAACATTTTGCTCCTTGAACATCCCTGAGCTGTTATAATAAATACTTTGGATCGATACGCCCATCCCTACTTTAAAACCGAATGCACAGCTGCAATGCATGCAATGTACTGATACACGTTCTCCCTATGGTTTACGTTCACTTAAGACGTAATCAACTGTGTTTACGTGAATACTCGTCAAAACGGACAATTCAACATAATTTTGTGTGTAATTCTCCGTTCATGCGACGCGAAAGAGTACTCGCGCGCTGTGAAACGCGCTTTGTGTGTATAGTGTCTGCGCTCAGAAAACCGAATTGAGTTCTCTCTCTTGCGTAGTCAGATTTATCCATATGTCTGCTCTTCTCTTACGCCCACATATTGACATTTTTTGAACGTTTTATGCGACGTGCAGCAAGTGTATGTTAGCTTATGTCCCGCCGGTTCATATGTACACATAACCTCCGAGCCACGCAGCAGATTTGTTCTGAATGAATCTCATCCCAAATCGTCCCTCCCTAACATTTTCGTCTCGTATTTATTCGTTGACGAAAATGTCAATAGATTTACGTCATAGTTTTTGTCATTCAAAAGGAGATTTAGTTCGTTATCGTCTCGTCGTCGTCTGTGAAAAAAATGTTGTTGATGACAATTATCACTGTTCCGCACATGCGTCTACTATCATAGATATGTATAGATGCCCTATTTGACCGCTCCAGATACGTTGACGCGTCTCCCATTTTGGAACATATCACAGCCCATCGAAACAGTCACTAATGAGGAATCTACTTATATATATATCTATGTCTACTATGCCAGAGCAGGTACACGGCACGCACAGGATGTTGTGAAAGCGCTCAGGAGTTGGACATTGCAGTGGATCAGAGGTAAAAAATTATATAAATACTGTTCAGTTTCTTGCACAGACTGATCGTTTCGTGTCTTAAGACCTCAATGTATCATCACGAGCCACAGGGTTTAATTTGGTTTTATCTGTGTATGTTTTTTTTACTCTCAAAGTCGCGGAGCCCATTGACTGCCATTATATGACTGACAGACTGCAACGGTTAGAGTTAAAAATATTTGTTTGTGTTCTACTGAAGAAACAAAGTCACCTACATCTTGGATGCTCTGGGGGTAAGCAGATAAACATCAAATTTTCGTTTTTGGGTGAACTATCCCTTGAACGCTGCTGCACAAATGTTTCTAATACAACGGCTGAGGGAGTGACGGTACATTTGACATCTCTCTCTCTTCCAGCCAATGTGATCAGTCTCTAGATATATTTTACTTCTTTTGTAAGGTCATAGAAACACGTTTTCTTTTTCTTTTGCTATTGAAGCAAAAGTGAAATACAAAAACGTACATTTGTTGTAGTTTCTGTTCCCCACTATAGAAGTTTACATGACTATGTTCTGCTTCTGAGAACCCTGGAAATGAGAAAAGTGTCCACAAAGCTTGAAAACTACCTTAAATGATAAGAAGAAAAATTCGGAAGACCTAACATTTTCTGGTCGGCACTTAATAAAAAGTTTGATCTTATAGCTCTCACCATATGATGATTAAAGTGTTCCTGAGCTCATGTTGAGAAACTGCAAATCTAACAGGAGATGCTTGAGGCAGAATTTTTTATGAATAAACATGCTTCTTCTTGAGGCAGTGTTTTACTACTGAAGATTTCTTTTTTCTTTTTGTTTGAATGCATGTTTTAGTTCAGTGTGTGTGTGAGAGACAGCATGTGTTTCTGCACGTGTTTCTAAACGCCTTTAAACTGAGGTGAAACTGTGCAATTCATTCCCAATCTGTCCAGATACATTCATCATCATCATTCTTAAACATTAATCAGGGCATTAATGAGCTGGTAATGGTGTGCTTTCTCAGCCTCTCGGTTTTTCATTCTGCTCCTCGCGTCTGGAATCTCAGCCAGCCTTTTTAGTCTGCAGGGTTTCCTGATTTATTTATTTTTTCATGTTTCTAAAACCTTTCAAGATGTTCAAAGGCTATTCATTGATAGACTCATATGTCTTTGACTTCTAAAGCAGGTTTTCACTTAATAATTTGGTCTACTGTCTTAAAGTTGATCTAACAGTAAGATTAATTGGTGGGTAAAGAGGCTTGGAACGTGGCGTCCTGACTTCTTTCCAAAACATTGGCCTCGATCTTTGCGTTCTGATTGGTTTAGATGTTTCCCTTTGAACAAAATACAATCACCTGCCAGTAACATTTGTGGAAAACAAAAAAATTACTCCTCAGGACTAGATGCCTTTTATAGTGTTCGGTCATTAGATTTCATGTCAAAAATCGTTTTTTATTATGCAGTTGTGACGTTATGCACTTCTGTTAAGCTTCTCTTCTCAGTGCAGCAGTTTCATTGACCTCTTCACCCTGCTGAAAATGCTTCCTCATCTCTGTTTCTTTCCTCTTGTTGTTTGGATTGTCTCGTCAGTGATGAACGAGGGTTGAATTTGTCATATTTAGATAGAAAAAGGCTTTCTGACAGGAATGCTTAGAACTCGCTTGAACCTGCCCGCTTGAAGACGAAAGACAGAGAGGGAAAATAAAAAGACGCAAAGAGAAAACTACAGAGCGAGAAAGTGTGTTACTGCTGAAGGTTTTTAAAATCTAATCCTGTCAAGGCTGTCTGACGTCTGTTTAACTTAAACTGTTGCTCTGGACAGCCCTGCTGTATATGGACTCTTGATTGTAGCGGTTATACTTGCTTAGAGTTGATTTTTCCCATCAAGGATAGATTTAAAGGAACGGCTCAAACAAAAAAAAATCCTGTCGTTATTTACTCACCCTCACGTTGTTTCAAACTCAAATGGCTTTCTTTCCAAATGAAAAATTTTAAATGCTGATCCCTCTTTGCCATGCGAATGGGGACTCAAACTATCAAACTTCGAAAAGGGGAAAAAAGCACCACAGAATGGTCATTCATATATATATATATATATACTGTATAAAAATATACATATGTAATATATATATATATATATATATATATATATAACAAGATATAGTGTTTTAGTTATTTGTAGCCACATTATATTAAATTAAAACAAGGGAGCAAATTACTGCAACATATCCACAATTTAACTAAAACGAGGGAACAAATTAATAAATTGTGGCCACAAATGAAAACGTTTTCATTTCAATTCAGTCCAAAAATAAATAAATAAAAATCCGGTTTACAAAAAATATTGAGCAGCACAACTGTTTTCAACACTGATAATAATATGAACTGTTGTTTATAACTGAGCACCAATAATAAGTAAGGGATAATGTACATCCAGCCGGTTGTTATCGCAGAATAAGGAATAAGTCTTGTGGAGGGTTATTTAGTCTTAAGTCTTAAGTGGGTTATTTAGCGATAACAACCGGCTGGATGTACATTATCCTGCTTAAGTAAATAATTAGACACGAAATATTGATTTGAGATAAAATATTTGAACACAAAGCTTCCATGAACACAGCAGTTGCGAGCAAGCGGCAAGTTCAAACTAGATGGACATTTAAGGGATAAAGTGCAGTCAAACCACTTATTACACAACATTTCACCACAGAAATAATTATGTGTACAAAACAATCTTAGCAAAATGGCAGCAGCTGCTTTTGTATGAAACGAGAGAGCGAGTCCGCGATACCAGGATGACATAATTAAATAATTGTACACAATTTTGAATCGAGTTTTAATATTTTATTAGCTAAACAAACGCAAAGCTTCCACCAAGAAGGTTTCTGGCAGTATAGCGCCAACTTCAGTTACCCGGATGAGCCTTTTTTTATTAGTTATTACCGGTTGTTATCGAGGGATAACATACCTCGGAATGTCGCGACTGACCAATCAGAATCAAGTATTCCACATAACCGTGTAATAATTAATAATATAGCAGAGCAGCAAATCAGCATATTGGAGTGATTTCTGAAGGATCATTTGACACTGAAAACTGGAGTAATGATGCAGAAAATTCAGCTTTGCATCACAGCAATAAATTACATTTTAAAATTGATTAAAATAGAAAACAGTTTTTTTTATCGTAATAATATTTCACAATATTACTGTTTTTACTGTATTTTTGATTATATAAATTCAGCCTTGGTGAGCATTAGAGACTTATGGAGAACAATTCTCATGCACATGAATTCCTTGTGGTAACTGTAGCAACTTTTTATTATGTTTTAATGCACACAATGGTTTCAGATATGTTTTGGCACAATGTTTGGGATCTCCCATGTTTAATTGACTTTGAACACAGTCTCTTGGGGTAATTTTAACCACAGACCTCCTTTTAATCATAAATCAAAAACCTCTATTCTAAAACCCCATTAGATATTCCAGAGGGAACTCATGGCTTGAAATTGCCAATACTCTTCTGGGTTTCACGACTACAAACTGAACAGCTCTATTATTTGAATTATAATGAAGTCTCTCAAAACTATTTCCTTCTCCTAATCACATTTTGGATTTTATTTCCGGACCAGTGCGATGTCTGTCCTATGAAAGACATGCATTTTTTCCCAGAATGGCCAGAGATCTCCTGCTGCCTTTAACTCTTCCTGTCATGTATTATTGATGCTCCTTATTGTCAGCCTTTAAAGAGGATATGTAATGATTTGAGTCAGCTGTGGTCCAGTCCAGGCCACCGTACTTCTACACAGACTCTTCCTTAATTAATGGCATTAAGTCAATCGATCAGACCATTTAGGAGACAGCTGGAGCTAAATCCCCTGCTACCTAATGGAGGCTGCAGGACGAAGCGGGATTGTGTGTACCAGGACTGTAAGCTAATTTGCTCTAGCCAGTGATCAACTATAATAATTTTTTTCAGCTGACCTATAGTTGCCATAAAAAACATGTACATGATCAATGAGTGTAAAATGCGGCGAGACCCCAAACTCTCACACTGACCCCAAGCCAGCAGGCTGTCATTATTGTTGACCCATGTTAGCGTTTGGATTGTTTTCCCCACGTTGTTATAAATGTTTCTCCTTCTCCTTCTCCTTTGCTCTTTTTCTCTCTTTCTTTCTTGCTTGGCAGAGTATAAAGCGGGATAAAACCTTCCAGACGGACAGCGACGGCAATCAGGTGTTTAAAGGACACAGGTGAGGTTGTCTGCACTAGCAAGCGGCAAGTTCAAACTAGATGGACATTTAAGGGATAAAGTGCAGTCAAACCACTTATTACACAACATTTCACCACAGAAATAATTATGTGTACAAAACAATCTTAGCAAAATGGCAGCAGCTGCTTTTGTATGAAACGAGAGAGCGAGTCCGCGATACCAGGATGACATAATTAAATAATTGTACACAATTTTGAATCGAGTTTTAATATTTTATTAGCTAAACAAACGCAAAGCTTCCACCAAGAAGGTTTCTGGCAGTATAGCGCCAACTTCAGTTACCCGGATGAGCCTTTTTTTATTAGTTATTACCGGTTGTTATCGAGGGATAACATACCTCGGAATGTCGCGACTGACCAATCAGAATCAAGTATTCCACATAACCGTGTAATAATTAATAATATAGCAGAGCAGCAAATCAGCATATTGGAGTGATTTCTGAAGGATCATTTGACACTGAAAACTGGAGTAATGATGCAGAAAATTCAGCTTTGCATCACAGCAATAAATTACATTTTAAAATTGATTAAAATAGAAAACAGTTTTTTTTATCGTAATAATATTTCACAATATTACTGTTTTTACTGTATTTTTGATTATATAAATTCAGCCTTGGTGAGCATTAGAGACTTATGGAGAACAATTCTCATGCACATGAATTCCTTGTGGTAACTGTAGCAACTTTTTATTATGTTTTAATGCACACAATGGTTTCAGATATGTTTTGGCACAATGTTTGGGATCTCCCATGTTTAATTGACTTTGAACACAGTCTCTTGGGGTAATTTTAACCACAGACCTCCTTTTAATCATAAATCAAAAACCTCTATTCTAAAACCCCATTAGATATTCCAGAGGGAACTCATGGCTTGAAATTGCCAATACTCTTCTGGGTTTCACGACTACAAACTGAACAGCTCTATTATTTGAATTATAATGAAGTCTCTCAAAACTATTTCCTTCTCCTAATCACATTTTGGATTTTATTTCCGGACCAGTGCGATGTCTGTCCTATGAAAGACATGCATTTTTTCCCAGAATGGCCAGAGATCTCCTGCTGCCTTTAACTCTTCCTGTCATGTATTATTGATGCTCCTTATTGTCAGCCTTTAAAGAGGATATGTAATGATTTGAGTCAGCTGTGGTCCAGTCCAGGCCACCGTACTTCTACACAGACTCTTCCTTAATTAATGGCATTAAGTCAATCGATCAGACCATTTAGGAGACAGCTGGAGCTAAATCCCCTGCTACCTAATGGAGGCTGCAGGACGAAGCGGGATTGTGTGTACCAGGACTGTAAGCTAATTTGCTCTAGCCAGTGATCAACTATAATAATTTTTTTCAGCTGACCTATAGTTGCCATAAAAAACATGTACATGATCAATGAGTGTAAAATGCGGCGAGACCCCAAACTCTCACACTGACCCCAAGCCAGCAGGCTGTCATTATTGTTGACCCATGTTAGCGTTTGGATTGTTTTCCCCACGTTGTTATAAATGTTTCTCCTTCTCCTTCTCCTTTGCTCTTTTTCTCTCTTTCTTTCTTGCTTGGCAGAGTATAAAGCGGGATAAAACCTTCCAGACGGACAGCGACGGCAATCAGGTGTTTAAAGGACACAGGTGAGGTTGTCTGCACTTTTTTTTGTGACCCATGTGTCTGTTTTTGTGCCAGAGCCCAAAGTGCAGTCAGTGAAATGAAAGAAAGAAAGGTGAAAGTTTCTGGATTCTGCTCTGGAACAAACTCATTTTGGATTCAATTCCTTCTTTCTGTGCTTTGTGCAGAAGCTCTGCCTGTGAAGTAGTGCAGGCAGGAGGTGTAATCACAGCCTCCATTTGCTGTGGTGTTTTCAGGTCACACAGCGCGAATCACAGAATTGGTGGGTGCTAGTGGCAGAAAGGGCGTCATTTTGGCATTGTACTGTAACAAACTTGTTAATTTATGTGACATCTTAATGTGGCTTGAGATCTTAATGTGGCTTTGACTTAATCTATTTACTCTATACTATATTATCTTTTGTGGGTTTTTTGATTATTATATAAAATGTATAAAAAGAGTGTCAGTAAAGACATTAATTTTACAAAAATAAAATAAAAATAAATGCTTTTCTCTTGAACTTTATCAGAGAATCTTAAAAAATATCATAGATCTTTTATAAATAGAATGTGTATATGTATATAGGATGTTTATATATATATATGCACACACACACACACACGTTTATATATTTATATGAACAAAATGTGTATGTGTGTATATACAGTGTATATATATATATATATATATATATATATATATATAT